TCGACCCCATTGGTCTCCACAATACCCATAGTCCGAAGAACCTCATGGCAGCTATACAAGAAATCCAGGGGGTCCTCTGAAGAAGCACCGCTGAATGTGGTGGTGAAGAGCTTGGTGAACCTATCCAGTCTCCACAAAGCATCTGCGGACATAGCCGCTCCATCGCTGGTCTGAGTCACAATACCCGGCTGAACTGCCACAACTGGCTGAACCACTGGAACCTGTGCCTGGGAGCTACCTGCTCCGGAGTACGTGTAGCAGGAGTCTGAACCCCTCCTCCAGCCTGAGAAGTGGCTGGTGCTACTGGAAGCCAACCCGCTCTAGCGACGCTCTCCACAAAGCCTACCAATCTGAACAGAGCGTCCTGAAGAACTGGGGTGGCTATGAACCCCTCTGGGACCTGAGCTGGGCCCACCGGAGCTGCTGGGGCTGGAACCTCCTCATCATAATCAACATGAGGCTCCACCTCTAGGACTGCTGCTCGGGGCTGAGCTCTGCCCCGGCCTCGGCCTCTGGCACGGCCTCGGCCTCGCCCTCTGCCCCTCGTAGGAGCTGCTGCTGGGGGCTCGGGCTACTGCGCGGTAGAAGAGGAAGCACGTGTTCTCGCCATCTGCGAAAGAACAGAGTAGAACAACAATCAGTATTTGAGAAACAGAATGGCACGACAAGAAAGAACAAAAGTGAAGTTTTCCTAACTCCGTAGCCTCTGGGGATAAATACAGACGTCTCCGTACCGATCCCTCAAACTCTACTAAGTTTGTCCGTGAGTAGCGAGACCTATGTAACCTAGAGCTCTGATACCAATTTGTCACGACCTGGATTTCCCACCCTCGAGAGTCGTGATGGCGCCTATTAATGGGAGCTAGGCAAGCCAATTTAATCTACCTTTTCGCAACAATTACCAACCATTTAGTAACATCAAACATAATGACATAAAGCGGAAATCTTAAAAACATAGATAACTGAAAACCAAATGCGGAAGTTTAATTACAACTCTACCCAGATCCGGTGTCACTAACTCACGAACTACTAAAGAGTGCTAAAAACAAGTCAGAATAGAAGTACATCAATGTTTGTCTCGGTACAAGGAAAACAAACTAATAACATAGAAGGAACTCCGGCCTGCGGACGTCAGCTAGGCTACCTCGAAAGTCTCGGGACTGAAGTCAGCTCCCGATAAAATCCTACTGCTGAGGCCCAAAAACTGCTCCTGGATCTGTGCAAAAAGATGCACAAACATCAGCACAACCGACCCCATGTGCTGGTAAGTGCCTGGCCTAATCCCGGCGAAGTAGTGAAAAGGCTAGACAGGACCTACGAAAAACAACCTGTGCAGATATATATGTATATACAAGTGCAAAGAAATAACAGCAGAAAATACCAATTAAGGCGGGGAGGGGACATGCTTAGGGGAAATACAGATGAAAACAACTTATCAGAAGTAAACACGAAACTACATCAGATCTCATAATCTATATAAGTGGTCGGCGTGCCACACGATCCCATTTCATAGTATAACTAGGTGGTCGGCGTGCCACACGATCCCATTTCAGCAAATATAAGTGGTCGGCGTGCCGCACGATCCCATTTCATAATATACTAAGTGGTCGGCGCGCCACACGATCCCATTTCAGCAAATATAAGTGGTCGGCGTGCCACACGATCCCATTTCATAATATATAAGTAGTCGGCGTGCCACACGATCCCATTTCATAATATATAAGTGGTCGGCGTGCCACACGATCCCATTTCATAATATATAAGTAGTCGGCGTGCCACACGATCCCATTTCATAATATATATAAGTGGTCGGCGTGCCACACGATCCCATTTCATAATATATAAGTGGTCGGCGTGCCACACGATCCCATTTTATATTATATATAATGATTTCCCGGCAAGGGAACAAGTATCAATTCAACCATCCCGGCAAGGGAGAATACAAATAAACAGTTAATTCCCGGCAAGGGAGCAACACCAATAACTTACACGTCCCGACAACGGAGTAATTACATCTCTTCCTCTTTCGTTCATTTCTTACGTCTTAATCATGTCATATTTCGAGCCAACGCTCCAAGGAGTTTACAAATCATATTTTCTCTTAATATTGTTCACAGTATATTGAATCCATCAATTAAATAAGGAAGAGTCGCCACGGAATCCCAAATAAGCACAAGTAAGGACTCACGGTCATGCTAGACACCGGTGTATAGATACTCGTCACCATGCCTATACACCGTACTCATAATTTAGCAATTAGCAAACAATACTCTAATCCTATTCCCTCAAGCCAAAGTTAGATCAAACACTTACCTCAAATGCTCCAAAAATCAACTCAAGCCTCTACTGTAGCTTTACCCCTCGAAATCGGCTCCAACTCAGTCAAATCTATGAAATAATGACTTTACAATATAAATAATAGCTAAACAAACTAAACCCAATGCCTAAATATGAATTTTCAAGCTATCTTCCAAATATTCCAAAATCGACCCCAGGCCCGCTTGGTCAAAACACGAGGTTCGAACCAATTCCATGTCACCCATTCCCCCACGAGCCCGGATATACAATTTGTTTTCAAATTCGACCCCAAAACGAGGTCTAAATCAAAGAAAATTGAAAAGTCCTAATTCTACCCTTTTCCCCAATTCTTACCATGAACTACATGATTTAAGTCTAGGAATTTGATAAATGATGATAGAAAATGAAGAAAATGAGTTAGATAATACTTACCCAAGAAGTTTTGGTGAAGGATAGCTCTAAAAATCGCCTATGTGCTGTAGAGAAGATGAACTCGTGTGTTTTGGGTGAAAAATCCCGTTACTGGTCTGCTTTTAGGCTTTAAAAATAACTGCGCGAATTTGCCCTACGCGATCGCAGAAACAGGGATGCGATCGCGAAAGGTCCCACTGACTGGTCATCGCGATCGCGTGGATGGTAACGCGAACGCGTAGAAGAAATACTGGGGGTCCAAAAGTTTGATCTATGCGAACGTGAGTCTACTGGTGCGAACGCATTGAAGGAAATGCTGAAGCTATGCGATCGCGTGACCGAGTACGCGAACGCGGAAGAGGAAAAAGCCAAAGGAAGGCGAACGCGGGCTGAAGATTGCGATCGCGAAGGAGGGAACAACTGAGCAAAAATTGCAGATTTTCTGCAACTTTCTCTAAGGCCAAAAACATCCCGAACCACATCCGAATCACTCCCGAGCCCTCGGGGCTCCTAACCAAACACACACACTAACTCCACAACCTCATACGAACTTAACCGAGCAATCAAATCGCCAAAACAACATCAAAATCAATGAATCAACCCTCAAAATCATCATTTTTCATTCTAACTTCATAAACTTCAAATTTAGATATTTAGGTCCGAAACACGTCAAATGACGTCCGATTTCGAACAAATTTCACAGGAAGCGCTTAAACCATATATAAGACTTGTACCGGGCGTCGGAACCAAAATACGAGCCCGATACCACAGCCTTTTTTAATCAATTTTCATTTCCATTTTCCTTAATAATTTCAGAAAAACAATTTCACAGAAAAATTCATTTCTCGGGCTCTAGACCTCGGAATTCAACTCCGGGCATATGCCCGAGTCCCATATTTTTCTACGGACCCTCCGGGACCGTCAAATCACGGGTCCGGGTCCGTTTACCAAAAATGTTGACCAAAGTCAACTTTAATCATTTTAAAGCCACATTTTGAAAATTTTTACAGAATTTAACATATAATCATTCCGGCTACGCGCCGGACTGCGCACGCAAATCGAGGCAAGAAAAAATGAGGTTTTCAAGGCCTCGGAAGCACGGAATGAAAGAGAAAACAGGTGATGACCCCTTTGGGTCGTCACAGTAAAAATAAAGCCTAAAGGCAATGCATGGTATTTTTATGATTTAAATAAAAACTAAACGTGCACAAAAATATAAACAATTAAATAAATTCTACAAAAAAAATCCTAAAAATGACAAATAATTAAGAAAAAATCTATTTTCTTGGGATTTTATAGGAGTAGTTCGCATAAGGAGAAATCACATGCTCACACAATGTATATAAAGATTAGCCAATTTCGCTCAAACTTCAGGACACAGAGTCCTAGAGTTTAAACCTCAGAGTCCAAACTTCAGGACATCATATCCTAAAGTTTGAAAATTATATCCAGAAGTTCGAATCTTATGTCCTGAATTTTAAAGTAGTAGTTCAGAAATTTAGGACACTTAGTCCTGAATTTCAAATTAGCAGCTCAAAATTCAGGACACTAAGTCCTTAATTTTCAAATTCACGAAACTTAGTCCTGAAGTTTGGGTGAATTGGCTAATCTTTAAAAATATTGTAAATTGTGAATATATTTTAAATAGCGGGCTTATAAGTGGCTATTGCTGCACTTATTTAAATGACCAAAACTTAGTTTTTTTTTTAATTTTTTAAAAATTAGTTTTAACTTCAATATTCCCTTCGGTCCACTTTAATTGATTTTTTTGACTGTTTTTACACATATTAAGGAATTCAAATTTTAGCATTAAGTAACAATAGAATTGACCATATTAACCTTTAATATCTCTTTAATTTGGTCAGTGGAAATATAACAGATACTACTAGGTTTTTTTACTCCAAGGGCAACTTTGAAAAAAAGAAGTTAACTTTTTTATTATGAACTACAAAAGCAAGGCCAAAAAATCAATTAAAGTGGACCGGATAGCTTGAAACACGTTTCTATGGTACTGAGGTCAGTACCATTACGTAATGAAGACCAAATGTCAATGAGTTATCTTCTTAAACAATAATTAATGAAACGCTAATTAATGCAAATTAAATTCTGAAGAAGCTTAATAAATTCTCATTAAAAGCTAAAACGGCTTTAAAATTGAAATTAAGGAAGAAGTGTAGTAGTTTTGCCGTTCGGCCTGCATATTTTTTAGAGCCTTAACCATTTGTCGTTTTTCTTTTGCTTTGTACTCCTAATTGTTAACTTCTACTCGTACAATCTTTCCTTTTTTCAATCCAAAACGCGTCTTATTATTCTTCTTCAAAAAGAAAAAAGAAAATCCCTATTCCAACATCTATATATACATTCATAGCCAACTAGTTTATATGTATTTTTTCAAGAAGAAAATCATCTCTTTATTGATATTTAGCGTCTTTTTTGTCATCCTTTCTCGAGATGAGTAGCTACAATAACAACCAGTCTCAAGGTAATTTTTCTTAAATTAAGATAATATTTAATTTAAATTTTGGATTCTTTATCACTCTTCGGTATTTTGGTTTTAGGAGATTAGACGAGGATAGTAATCAGTAGCGAATTTAGAGCACAACCTTTGAGTTCATAGGATCCTCGTGCCTTTTGCGTACACCCTATATATATACATACAATACATACATATATATAATTAAGGAAATCTACTAAATATCTGTAAATAACTCTGAACTCAATTATTATAGTATATTAATTTAATTTGAGGTTGCTTAGGAACCATAAACTTATAAGTGATACGTTTTCTTGATTAATTTTCAGGAACTTATCCTCCACAAGGGACTGCTTGTCCATATCCAAAGCAAGCACAGGGTGCTTACGTGGCTCCTCCGCCGCCGGCTGGTTATCAGACGAGAGAGTACGGTCATGGAGATTCCTCCGTTCCGGCCAAAACTCAGACCAGGGGTGATGGCTTCTGGAAAGGCTGGTAATTAAGTACTCTAAAATCATAATTATACAACTTTTTTTTTTTTGGGTTTAACATATTGGTATGATGTTGATTGTTGCAGTTTTGCTGCCTTGTGTTGCTGCCTTGTGTTGGACGCTTGCTTCTAAGGACTGATGAAGTTTTACTTAGCTTGGATTTCTTCTTTTCTTTCTTGTTCTTTTTCACTTACATTTTCGGTTTGTTTTTATAAAGAACGTTACTTTTCATTTACTTTCCACAAAAAAAAAAAAAAAAGAATTGGTTACGTTATGTTGATCTTTTGATGTTGCTAATAAACCACCCATTCTTCTTTATATCCTGCTGATCTTTCAAATTTTGCTACAATTCTGCAAAGCACTTCATATCTTCGTAAAAAACTGAACGATTCAGAAAAAAATGTATGTATATATCTTAAATAATAGTTTTATATTTTCATTGACATACTAGAATTCAAATTTTAGGCAATTGTATTGGTCGATTTTAGGGGCACAACTTGACTTTTAGTCAATTCCGATCCTAGTATTTGCTCAAATTTTTATTCAATAATGGTGTCCCGCCAATTTCAAATCCTGGGCCCGCCTCTACTTTGAAGTAATGGAATTGAACCCTGAATCCTGCACATAACATGGTTCTACTGATCATACTCCGAATGGAGCTAGAGTATTAGATACGGATCCAGACAACTTCAATACATCTTTTGTTAAGATCATATATTTGTATTAGAAAATTATATATATAAATATTTAATAAGAAATTCGATAACTAAAAAGAATTATGAATTCGATGACAAGTTTAGAACATAAATTTCAAATGGTAGCTCTCCCTCTGCGAATGACACATTGTGCGCTTATTAATACGACAATATTCAAGGGAATTCAATAGCTTCAGCTATGAAACAAAACATATGTATAGGAATTTGAACCTAGAAAAATGATTCGTGATTTATGGGTTTGGTTTTGTGGATGTTTATAAATTTATTTTTAGTTTTATGTCCTTATTTTTTTTTTTTAACATATAGAAAATTTCTTTTATACGTAATAGATCTGTCTTTTACACATAAGAGAAAGATCATTTTTTAAATTATAAATTGTAAATAAGTATGATGTAGAAATAGCACAATTTATTGGTCGCAGTTGAAATGTTAGTACTAATTCATTTTAGATAATTTACGTACCCATATCATGTGAAATATGACACTTCACATTTGGGATTTAAAGCAAAAATCTTTCACTAAGATTAGGTGTGTCAAATCAGTAGGATTGGTCAAACTAAATAAGTTGGGTTAGATGAGGGATTAATTTTGCTTGATGACTTAATTTTCATTCTATTTCATTAAAGTAACTAATTTTTTTTTTTTAAAAGTCACTCAAATTTAACTAAGTATTAAAAAAGTTATTGAACTCTTTTTTTGTAATAAATAGTCACTCAACTTTATTCAAGTATCACAGAAATCCACTGTGAGATAACCGAGGTAATACTTTTTATAACACGTTGGTAAGTTGAATGACTTACCTGTTACACAAAAAAAAAAAAAAAAAAAAAAAAAGAAGTTGCATAGGGCGCCCTATTTGGTCGCCCCCTTTTAACTTTTACCTGTTTTATTTTTTCGTTTGTATCCGTATCCATTTTTTTGATAAAAGTGTTTTAAAAAGTATCACAGAAATCCACTATGAGATAACCGAGGTAATACTTTTTATAACATGTTGGTAAGTTGAATGACTTACCGTTACACAAAAAAAAAAGTAAAAATTGCATGGTGCTCCCTATTGGGTCGCCCCCTTTTAACTTATACATGTTTTGTTTTTTTTTTTTGTATCCGTACCCATTTTTCTATTAAAAACATTTTAAAAAGACGATTTTGCCCGTCTTTAAATAAAGACTATTGACAAACTACAGGACAAAAACTTAAGTATGTTTAGGCTTGTGATGACCCGATAGGTCATCTTATAATTTAAAACCAAATTCTGTGTTCCGAGGCCTTTAAAACCTCATTTTATTCCTCCTCGATTTGCGTGCGTAGTTCGGGCGTATTTTCGAATAGCTTTTATGTTAAAAGTTGATGAAAATAATAATTTATGCCTTTAAAAGTTGATTTACTTGACTTCGGTCAACTTTTTGAACAGTCCCGGTAGGTCCGTATCAAAATATGGGACCTGGGCATATGCCTGGAATCGGATTCGGAGGTCCCTAGCCCGGGTAATGAATTTTTGTTAAAATTGTAAGTCAGAAAATATAATGGTTTTTAAGGAATTGTTAATGTTTGATCTTGTTGGTATCAGATCCGTATTTTTATTTCGGAGCCCGGTACAGGTTTAATATAATATTTAAGTCATGTCTACGAAATTTGGTAAGAATCGGAGTTGATTTGACGTGATTCGGGCATCCGGTTGAGAAAATAGAGATTTTAAAGTGTTCTTCAGAATTTCATTTGATTTGGTGCTAAATTCGTAGTTCTATGTGTTATTTTGGCGATTTGATCGCGTGAGCAAGTTCGTATGATGTTATTAGACTTGGGTGCATGTTTGGTTTGGAGCCCCGAGGGCTCGGGTGAGTTTCGGATAGGCCACGGGGTGATTTGAAACTTAAAAAACTGCTGGTTTTTGTTGCAGGCCTCAGACCTCGCAAATGCGAGGTCAATCATCGCATTTGCGATCTCCGAAGAGTTCGTATTTGCGAGCTTCTCATCGCAAATGCGAAGAGAAGCTGGGCCAGCTCATGTTCGCAAATGCGACCATTTCTTTGCATTTGTGATGGGGACAAGGGGGAGGCAACCTTCGCAATTGCGATCATCCGATCGCATTTGCGACCAGCTTAGTTCGCATTTGCCAACTTTTCTTCGCATTTGCGAAGAAGGCAGGACTGTGTGAATCTCAGCAAATGCGATGGTTTTCTCACATTTGCGGGCTTCGCATTTGCGAAGCCCGGGTCGCATTTGCGACATCTGGAGCTGGTAAAACTTGACTTAGACAGGATTTTCTCTCATTTTCCAAATCTTTCAAAACAAGAAACCTTCTAGGCGATTTTCCAAAAACCACTTCTTCCCCATATCATAGGTAAGTGATTCTTAACTCATTTCTTTCAATCTTTCACTTTATTTTACAAGATTTCAACCTAGAATCTAAGATTTTCATGGTGGAATTGGGGATTTTTGAGTAGAAACTAGGGGTTTCGAAATTTGGGGATTTAGACCTCAAATTGAGGTCGGATTTCAAAACAAATTATATATCAAGGCTCGGGGGTGAATGGGTAATCGGGTATTGGTCCGAATTTCGGGTTTGGACCAAGCGGGCCCGGGTGTTGATTTTGTTGACTTTTTTATAAATGGCCTAAATTGAATTCCTGTCTATCGTGGGTAGTTCCTAAGGCTTAAATTGAATTGTTTGGTTGGTAAACTGCTAGATTCTATTGGTCCGGAGGCTTGTGTGAAGGGTAAAGTGGTGATTGAGCTTTGAGTTTTGCCGTTGGAGCGAGGTAAGTGTTGTGTCTAACCTTGGCTTGAGGGATTAGGTATTGTTGCCTATTTGCTACGTGTTTGGTTATTGAGTACAGTATAGGTGAGTTGACGAGTACCTATGCGTTGTTGTCGAGTCATAGCATGCGAGTAAGTCTCATTCTTGTGATCGGTGTATTCTTTATTCATGTTGTTCATGTTTAGACTAGTTATTCTTTATGTTGGGCAATTTTTATCATGTTTTACGGAATTTGATGCTGATTGAGTATCGACTCAAAGTTGAGGTTGACGTTGTGGAACTAAATGTTGAAATGGGACTTGTTATTAATAATTCTATCTCCCGTTTGTTATTGTTTTGTTGTTTGGGTGAGGAAGAGTGTAAAGCACGAAGGGTGATGCCGTGTCATTTTATATTCATTATCATGTGAGGAAGAGTCTAAAGCACGAAGGGTGATGCCGTGCCATTTCATATTCATTATCATGTGAGGAAGAATGTAAAGCACGAAGGGTGATGTCGTGCCATTCAATATTCATTATCATCATTTCTTTCATTTATTATGGTGAGGATGAGAGTAAAAGCACGAAGGGTGATGTCGTGCACTTGTTTTTGCTATGTTTAATATTTCTACTGGTGCAAAGCATGTTGTTTGCTGTGTTTCTTTACTGTTACCATTCTCATGTTCTTGTACTCCCCTCAGCATGTTTTCCCCCTCCCATTATTATCTGTTTAGCTTCTATTATTTGTTATTATGCCCGTATATTGTTTAACTGCACAGGTTTATATATGTGTCTTGTCCTAGCCTCGTCACTACTTCGCCGAGGTTAGGTGTCACGACCCAATTCCCAAACCCGATCGTGATAGCGCCTCTCGTGAAGACAAGGCCAGCCAACAGAACATCAATACCTCTTTAATACTTACTTAGCATGAATAAGTCTAAAACATTAATAAAATTATCATATGTGCGGAAGAAAAGTGATAAAAATAGGGAACCGTCCCGACACAGCCCGACAGGGGTGTCACAAGCCACGAGCATCTAGAAGGATTTTTAATTCAACTACAAGGCCTGTAATATATGGATTTAAAATTTAGAATCAAAAGAAGAAATCCGGTGCCGCGAACGCTGGCGGTCACCTTGCTCAGTCACCTTTCTGGTGATATGACACCTCAATACAGGCCTAAGCCACGACTTGCATAACACACGCACCAATAAGAAACGGTCTGAACATACTCAAATCATGACAAATGACTCAAACGAAAGAGCTGTACCTCAAGCTCATCAGTACCATTACAACACAAGGCTGAGACCCCGTCTCACATCATAGAAATAGAATACCTGAATCTACCCCGAAAGATCATAACCAATACTCCATTTACCGAGCAACACTTAATCACTCTTCCCGCTCGACTTTCTCCATAAATCCTCAATAGAACCGCACCACATGTGCCCATATCCAACAAATCATAACGTCTCACAACACCGAAAAGCAACTCATAGATCTCCCCAGATCACTAACAAGTTCAATAACGATCGAATCAACCTACCCCTCAACAATACAACTCGGGGCCGTCCAAGGTAACTCAAGCTAAATACGTAGCCACATCGGCCTGCCAACGAACTCAATACCACGAAGCCTGAAGCTGCTCCTTCCACTACTATAACTTCTTTCGGAGCCGTACGATACGGTGCCCTGCACCAAATCAATACCGAAATCCACAATCTCGCCCAGCGACATGCCCGGCCACAAGAAACGCATCCGAAAAAGTCCCTCAATACCGGAACTGAATCAATGGTAGAAACCCCTGCACTGACATCCGTCACGAAGGCCCACTTAAGAAAAGCAGTCCTTCCCAGCCGTCCGCTGGTCTTTGGAATACAAACCACTCTGC